CTTGTTAGGAGCGCAACCCAGCAGCCCGCAGCTCGCAGCCGCAGTACCATGCTCTCCACAGTTCGCCTACAGCCTCTTTGGGGCAACCTATGGGCTGTTACAGGTCCTTCTCTCTTGGCTATCTTCTCGGTCAACCTCAGGTTCCTACATCATCCACCAGCGGAGGTGGAAGGCCAGATTGGCACCAGAGACCCTCCGCTGCGCCTACTATGGAACATGCCCTCCATCCCGGTAATACATGCTGTTAACGAGAGCCTCAACTCCCTACGGACTGTCCATCCACTACTATCGCCTTGCCATTCTGCTTTCGTGAGGCACTCATTGATTTCTTTTCATTGTGGTGCATTGCGTCTTCTGCAGCGCGTGAACGGGATGACCCTAGAACTCGCAGATGTGTGGTTGACGGGATGCACCTACACCCGCCTGGCTCCGCCACATCTAAGTTCAGTCATTGGCACGGACCCGATAATTCAGGCTTTACAGATGATGCCTTTTGGCGAAGTGGCAAGGTCTCTAGAGGCCAAGATGCAGCGGCTGTTGTTGCTTTCTGCAGCAGACAATTCGTTACTGTTGCTGCAGTGGAGGGAAAGTGGTTCCGACCTGATTACCGGATCGGGGAATCTTGTGCTCTTAGATCAGACGCGCTTGCCCTTTCCTGTGTTGCAGTTTCTTCGGCAAGAACCGGAAGCGCCGCTTATGGCCGACTGTCAGGGAAATAATATTCGGGAGCGTACATGCCGAGTTTTACGGGCGTTTCCGTGGGAAGGGGATCTACTAGTTTCGAAGGCGGCGCTTGACGATCAAGATAGCAAGGGGATTGATTGCAGCGACAGCACAACTGCTTCCAGCAGGAGTTCAAAATCCTGGAGTAGCCAAGTACAGAGGTATGGCCTACAACGGCATACATGCAATAAAGCTAAGGGAAGAAGCGTCGGCTCACTTATACGAGACTTTCCTTCTTATGGCATTGCCATCGTTCTGACAAACGGTAGAGGGATCTTGCATGCTCTGGACGACCAGTTTGCGCAACAGCAACAACGGGATACATGCTTACAAAGGAGTCAGATATTGGCGGTATCCACATCTCCTGCCTTTTCTGGCCTCGTGATTTCTCTGGTAAGGACAAATTCTACTTTCTCGCACTATAATACCGTGTGTGAGTAGCGTCCATGTGTGTGTAGTCACCTACACTGCAATGCAGCTTTTGCTTTGCTCCACTCTTTCAGAGACGCTGCCGTGATGGACATCTGAGGATCTGTCTTGAAGACAACGAAGGCAGTGTTCATTTTAGTGGAGAGATTGACTTGCAGGATCCTCCGGGAAGTGAATCCATCTGTCAGGGGAGCCGGATCCATATTGGGTCCTCCTGAGTTGGGGGAGGGGGGAGGGAGGGCCCTTGTGAACGTCCATGCCATCATCTGTCTGCCAAATCAGTATGGTATTTCTGTTGTTTAGTGCATCTAAGCGGTAGCATAGTTTTGAATTCTATCCATTATGCTGCGTACTTAACTCTCACTCACGTCGACTGTCTCTTCTCCACCGTCTCTTAGAGGCAGTTCCATTTCCTCCCCGTTATGAACTGCCTGAAATGTTCCCTTGTAGAGGCTGCAGTGTACGACCCACGAACGAGTGTGGTAAACACGTTTGGACCAACTTGACACCGTCGTCGTCTGCCGATAGATAGTTAAGTATTTTGGCCCCAGTTGCAGCTGACAATAGTTCTTGGATAAGAGCAAGGACTCCGTTAGACTACCCCATCATACGGCAGTCTTAGTTCATATGTTGAGGGTGGGCTTGCATGCAGGAGAGGCAACAGCAACTTGAAGCATACAGGATTTCATGTAGACTGAAAATCTAGGATTTGCCTGTCAATATTGTTAACCAAACTACATGAGTAGTTTTTTCGGAAGACTGTTGCAGTGGAGCGGCCGAAACGATTTGTGTGTGGTAGTTTGCATCTGAGAGTACTTTCATACCAGTGAGTGTTACTAAGCATCGCAGTAAGGTATCTTTGCCACACAGCTCCAAAAGCTTGAACAACAGCACCTCGGAACATTGCACGGGTTCTCTGTGAAATGTGGAGAATACTGCTACCATTGGTCCGATATACCTCATGTATTGGATTTACCACGTGCAGCAAGAATATCTTCAACTGCTCTGGTGAGTCTGCTTTTTCTCAGGAGGCAGAAGGCAGCCTCCCCGTAGTAAAGCATGCCGGTTGACTGAGAGGCATAGTGAAAGTACCCCGCTGCGGAAGGATGATCGGCTTCCGCACACAATCACACGCACTCAACAACTTTCGTACTCCCATAGCAGCAACATTTCCTTAGCGAGGGCAGAAATCAACGAGGCAAATTAGTGCCACCGCTGCAACAGGCCGCTTGTACATTCCGAGCGTTTGTGGTCTAGTGGTAGAATACCTCGTTGCCATCGAGGTGACCCGGGTTCGATTCCCGGCAGACGCACTTTTTACCCACACTTGTTGTACTATCTTTTATGGGCGCTGTGTGATACAAAAGCCTCAGAACACGCATTTCTGCAGAAAAAGAACTGAGAAACAACGGTTACAGGTCTGAACCCCCCGATTCATAATAGCCACTAGTCAACTCCTGAGTCCCATAAAGGGATCAGCGCACTAGCGCCTCATGGATCGCTGTTCTGCATCTTATGTCCGTACCGGAAGACTCTCAAATTCATCTTTAGAAGGGCAAATGCATACCACTGCTGAGGGAGCATCCATGGAGAAGCGTCAGATTGAACACTACCCGACCGAGGAAATTCCTACATTGTCTGTGCGACAGACCACGCTATGCCATCAGCAAGAAACCGCAAAAGCCGACGAAACAAGCACAAAGACTCCATAAAATGCTGATGAGTCTCTCCTCCCCTCGTAAGCCTCATCCCCCTTCGGAAAGGGCGAAACGGCCTAAACAATGCGGGAGCACGCAAGGAGAGGAACTTGCGGCGAGGGCCGCAGGTTCTACTTTTCGTCTAGCTGGCTCTGTTGCAAATTTGTACATCGAAGTGCTGTGTAACCTCACGTGTGAGGGTTCAACACGCAAGCTGCGCGACAACTGCACATGCTCTGTGGCATATCGTGACCATGGTAGTGTTTTGCGGCCACGCATCATTGCCTAAACTGCATCCTCCATCATTCAGATCAGCAAATACACACCAACACAAATCCTGCGGTTAACGATGGAGAACTGTAGATGCTCCACTGACTCCTTTGTATGCGAGCGTTGCAGGCATATGCTAGCTGTTGCGGTGCAACCAATACTCCCTCTTCCATCTTTAGCTTCCAAGACTCGCCTTTATTCAGATATCTTCTTACTGATTTTATGGACTCTTAGGATATTTTGGCGTTATTGACACACTTTACTTTATAGGGAAGCGAGATGGGCCGCAGGGCCTCCCAGCACCTCGGGCTTACACACCAGAACAACAGGCATTGGGGGGGCCTTAACGAACTGCCTCCCACTTTTCGTGCAACCGTCAATTATCGTTTTTCCGTAGTTATCGACGGTCAATATAAAACATATGTGGAGAGGGGGCCCTTGCTAAGGCAGTGGGTGGTTGGGCCCCCCGCCAGGTGGTTGGTGCATGGGGTTCTGTGTGGTCTTGCTAATGGGGCAACGCTGCAGTAGCTGCAGCATCCCCAGAGGTCTGTGGATCCAGGCGACGCGATGGGCATTCATTCCCCGGAAGCGAACGTACACTCTGAGAAGAGGCGCGCACATGACCTTCTGAAGCTGCAAGTTCGCGAACGATTACTAGAGCAGCAGCAGCAGGAACAGCAACAAGAGCCACTCGATGGGAGGCAACAGGAGAAGCAGACTGCAGAGGAGAAGCAGGCGAACGAACTGCTTAGCGATGCAAAGACACATGCTGTTGCTCTGGCCCGACCCATCCCTCCTCGGCAGCAGCAGCAAAGCAGCAAGAACACCCGTGAGCAGACACACCATCAGGGCCAGTACAATGACCACGAACAGCTCGAGCTAGAGAGCGAGAAGGAGTGGCTTGTTGAACAGGAAACGGTGGCCTTCGTCGACGACTCGACAAGCAACAGCAGCAACCGCAACAGATGCGACGCAACCTGCGGTAGCAGTAGCTTTACAGAGACTAGCTGCACAACTGCAGTTCTACAGCGTCGAAGGGGCTTACCGGCATCCAGATCCGCTACGGAGGCAGCAGCAGCAGCCTCAGCACCGACAGCGGCAATTACTGAAGAAGCAAAAACGGCTCGCTCCCCAGAAGCAAAGAAGAGGCGAAGGGGGAAGCAAAATGCCCCTCAGGCTTCACGTTCTGCTGCTGCTGAAGGGGGGCGTTCAGCAGCAGCAACTGCCGCTGCTAGCGATGACTTTAGCGTGATTGAGGTGTTCGCCTTCTCCAACCATCAGGAACTGCGACGGCAACTTCATCCACAACAGCAGAAGAAACAACAGAATAGAGGAAGGAGGAAACAGGCGGGATCAGACGATATAGTTTATTTCCCAGCGTCGCCGAACCCAGGAAAGCCCGATGCAGCAGCAGCATCGCCAAACAATCATTCAGGCTCACCTGCCACCTGTAATACTGTAACGTTGACGAAGGTGAAGACGAGAAAGCCGGCAGCAGCACCAGCAGCAACAGAAGCAGCAGCAACAGACGCAGAAGGTCGTAAGAGCAAGAGACGCAATGCAACCGCAGGTGCAGCAATAGGGAAGAAAGCTGGGGACTCGCCGCTGCGGCTAAAAGGCAGGAAGCATTCAGCAGAATCAGCGCCTCAGACACCTTTGCTGCTGCGGAGGCCTCAGGTAAGGGGAGCAGTAGTAGCAGAACCAGTGGCTGATGGTGGAAGGGTTGGCTCTGTTGTTGTATGATACGGATGCCGCTGCTGCTGGATCTCGATTCGTTGCCTTCCTATGCCTGTGCAACGCTTTCTGCTGCTTTTGTTGCGGCTGCTGCAGGATCCTGTAGAGTTAGCGGAGTTCTCACAGCGAGTACGCCAGAGACTGCTTTTGGTTGAGCAGCAGCTTCGGCGACTTCAGCAGGAACAACAGTACCTGCTCGCTGCTTTGTGGGATTTGGGGCCTGCAGCCGCTGCTGCCGCTGCTGGCACTGCACGTGAGGCATTTCCAGCACTACAACAGCGGCCTCGTGTGTCTGAGCAGCTTCTGGAACTGGAGCGCCTTGAAGAGCCGCGTTTTCACCAGAAGGAAGAGGAAGGGGAAGTGGTGCTACAGTCAGCTGGAGATCAGCAGCAGCAGCAACAGGATGCATCACACAAGCTTGCAGAGCCCAGTAGTAGCAGCAAGTTGCTCTGCCAATCACTGTCGGAACAGCAGCTGCAGCAGCAGTGGCAGCAGCTACAGTTCCAGCAGCAGCAGCTGAAGCTCCAGCAGCAGCACGTACTGTTGCAGCAGCAGCTGCTTGCTGCTGCGTTGCTGACGGACTGGGAGAATGCCATTCCTAGAGGAGCAACGGCAGCATTGGCAGCAGCAGCAACAGCAGCAAATCCTCCAGCTGAAGAAGCATCCGCAGCAACAACCAAGTCGCCAGTGAGATCGGAAGCACCCCTTGCAGTAGCAGCTGTCGCAGTTAGATATGCAGCGAAGGACCTGCCACAGGTAGCAGCAGGAGCATCAACAGCACCACTCGCCGATGCTCGGCTATCTGTCCCTCTCGCAACAGAATGCGCCTCCCCTGGTTCAGCAAGAGCAGATGCTGCTCCAGCAAGTAATGAAAGTTTAAGATCAAGCCGCGGAGGTTCCCCAGAATCAGCGGGAACCAACATACCTGCAGCAACAGCAGCAGCTGATGCACACGTTGCTGCTCATCCGAGTACAACACTGTCAACAGGAGGAGAAGCGGAGGCTGCCGCTGCAGTCGCGGAGCCTGCTGTTGCTGGAGTGAAGGCCTGGCTTTCAGCAGCTGCAGGAGCAACAGCAGAGGAAAGGACGCAGCAGCCGATAGAGGGATCGGAGGCCCCTCCAGCAGAGAGGCAGCAGCAGCACATGCAGAGAGAACCACGTATATTATCACTTTGGAACATAGCTAGAGCCTACAGCTCCTCCCTGCTCTGCGAGCCCTCAGTAAGGGCGGCGACAGATGCTGCAAATGCACTGTCTGCTGGGACCCCTGCTGCTAATTCATCTACTACTACTGGTGCTGCAGGCGCAGCAGTGGTAAAAGAGGCAGCAACAGACATATCCTCCGCAGTCCGAGGGGCCTTAAAATTCTCAAATCTGCTGCGTCCCCGGCTTCCTGTTGCGCCAGATCCCGATGCTGCTGGTTCGGCAGCTGCCGATCCTGCTGCATCTGCGTCACCTCTCCTTGGTAGTGGAGCTGCAGCGCCATGCGAAGGACGCCAAGCAGCAGCAGCAGCAGACGCGGCAGCAGGATGTAGCGGGGCCACCTCGCAAATATTGCTGCGAGCGGCGCGGTCCCCAACTGCAGCGCGCAGTGCCTTACCAGTTGCGGCTCGTGCTCGATGCATGGCTGCGCTGCCTTTAGTTGCTGCAGAAGCAGCAGAAGATGAACAGTATATGTGTGTGGGCGGCCCAGGGGATTCAGAAGACTCAGCAACTGGAGCACTCCTTCCAGCAGCCACTCCAGCAGAAACTGCAGGTGCAGAACCAACATTAGATGCTGCAGCTGATCCATCGGAAGCAAGCATAACGGCATCATGGGGCGAGGCGCCTGCGCCTCCCCCGACTGCAGCAACATTGCCACCAGCAGCTAAGCGAGAAGAGGAAGTGAGAATACCTGAGATGGTGTCTTCCCCAGCAGGTACAGCAGCATCTACTGCTGCTGCTGAGTCTCCCAGCAATCACTGCAACAGTAGTAGAGCAGACGAACTTTCTCGTTCATTTACCGGTGCGGATACTAGCTCTGCAGCAGCTGGTAAAGCAGCCGCTGCAGCCTCGATGGCAGAGGAGGAGATGGCAGCTGCAGCAGCAGCAGAAGCAGCGTGGGTAGCTGCCGGGAAAACAGACTGCGTGGGGAGCTGGTCCCTGCTGCTGCCTCCATCGTTCGGCTGCATTTTCCCAGAACCATTGAAGCAGCTGCTATTCGTGCAGCAACAACAACCGCAGCAGATCCGAGAGGCGCTTACTCGGCTACGAAGACAGCGCGTGAGGAACAAGCTTCAGCTTCAGCAGCTGCAACAGCAGCTGCAGCAAGAGCCGCAGCGACCGCAAAAGCAGCAGCAACAACAGGTTGAGCAGCAGCAGCATCAACAGCAACAGGTTCGGCAGCAACACCAGCGGCTGCAAGCCCTGAATGAGGGTCTGTCTTTCCTTGATGCCTTTCTCGTTGCAGCTCTGCGATGCGGTGAGGAGGGTAGCAGCTGCCGCTGCTCCTCAGAGGCCTGCAATCGCAGGGGCAGGGGCCAGCATGCCCACCACCAGCAACAGCAGGAACAACAGCAAGAGCAACAGCAGCAGCCACAGAACCAGCAGCCAGGTCAAGTGCACCGCTCGAGGCTGCAAGGGGATCCACTGTTGCAGCAGACCCTACTGCGGGGAGAGGCTGCACACTGTCGTGGGCAGCAACAGCAGCAACACCAGCCGCAGCGGCAGCAGCCTTCAGAGGAACCGCTGAAGCGTGCAGAGTCTCAACAACAGGAGGCTGAAGAACACCTGCAGCCACCGGAGCAGCAGCACCAGGGAACGCAGCAACCAGTGGAGACGGAAATGTACCAGCAGCAGGAGCAGCAACAGCAGACAGAATCTATCGTGCCACACCCAGCTGAACAGCACAACCAGCTGCTGTTGCAACACGAGCAGCAACCAGAGCAGCTGAGACGGCATCCGCAGCAACGGTTGGGGGAGGCCATCTTAGGAGCGCAACAACAGCACGAGCAGCAACAACGGGACGCAATGGCATACGAAACGGAACGCGCAGAAGAGCAGCAAATGCCACAGCAGGAACAAGCAGAACAGCCTAGTCCGCACACGGGGCAACCGAAAGTTGGAGCCACCGGAGGTGGAGCCACCCGAGGCCAGGAGGAGGAGGAGCTGCAGAGCGGAGTGGAGCAGGTGCAGCAGCAACAGGAAGAGCAGCAAATGCAGCAGGAGCCAGAAGAAATATCAGTTGAGGATGCACGTTCCTCTGCCGACACGCGGTCTCCTCGTGGCTTCGCATACAGCCCAGGGATGTGCATGTACACTCCAGATAGTTGCCCGGGTTCCCCCTTGAGCTGCGTATACACCCCAGGGAATCTTGCCGAAGCAGCGTCTGTGTCCCAGGAGGAACAGCTTGAAGAGCATCATGGGCAGCAGCCATTGCAGCAAGGACAACGTGAGCAGGAGCTGCCGTTCTCAACTGACGACGGCTGTGTGTTTGCGTCAGCACAGAGCCCACCGTCCAGCAGCAGCAGCAGCAGCACGCGTCACGGGACTTCGCACTCAGGCGGCCGCCACAAGAGAAAAAACCAAGAGGCAATTGAGCTGGTACAGCTCTCCAGCGATAGCAGCAGCGACAGGACAAGCTGCAGCAGCCAAAGTGACTCAGATGGAGGCTTGCAGCTACTGGATTCCCCCTGTCCCACGGCTTTGGGGGAGTCAGCTCACGAGGAAGGGACAGCAACGGAGACAGTAGTGGAGACCAGAGAACCGGAAACGAGAGCAGCAGAGACGAGCGAAACAGTAACTGCAGCAGCAACGACAGCAACAGCAGCAGCACCACAAACAGGTGCTACTTCTGCAACGGGGACAGCAGGCACAGCAGAAGCTGCGACTGTCTCGAACGAGGCCTTCAGTGTGGCAGTAGCAGCAGCAAGGGAAACGACACCAACAAAAACGGCAGTACCATCAGCTGCTGCTGGGAGAGAAGGCCCAGCTGCAGTGGCTTCGAAATTGAGCGGTGTATCGACGACAGAAGCAGCAGAGCCACCCGCAGCAGCAGCAATAAGCGAGCAGCATTTGCTGCTGCGCATCGACTGGGCCAAGATGGAAGCCAACTGTCTCCACAGATGGCTGTCGTTCTTTGGGCTGAAGGTTGGGGGTCTTTCACAGCAACAGGCTGTTTCTATTCTGCAACAGATATGCCGCTACCTCGTGACAGGCACACCAAACGCCTTGTCTGCTGCTGATGCTGATGTACCGGCTGCTGCTGGTGCTGAACACACAAAAAAGCCTGGGCAGCAGCCTGCTGTGGTAGCTGCCGAGACGCAATGGCAGCAGCAGGTACCAGATCCAGAAGCATCAGATCCAGCAACTTCAGCAGCCGTGGCTGCTGCCGAAGGGCCTGCTACTCAGGCTAGCAGACGGCAGAAGAGGCAGCGGCGAGGCAGCGGGAGCACTGCGAACGATCCCATTGCTGCTGCAGGTGTGTGTACTGCTTGCCCTTGTGCTGCTGATTCTACGTCTGCTGCGAGAGCGCTCGTGCCAGTGGACTCCGTGGGCACAGCAGCAGCAGAGGCTGCCCCATCTCAATTGTGTTCTCAGCGGCAGCAGCAGGGGCGGCAAAAACGAACAGCAACAGCAGCAGAGATTCGGGCGGCGCTTATGCGTGAGGATGACGCCTTCGGCGTGTACGATCGACTACTCGCAATGGAGCCTGTTACACTTTCAGAGATAGAGGAATCCCTGAAGGGTAAGGGTTGGGACGCAAAATCCATTGCCGGTTCTTACTGCTTTTTCTGGTGCATTGCTGCTGGGACTAGTGCTGCTGCATCATATGCTGCTGCTTCTGCGGCTGTATGTTTGCTGCAGCTGCCCAGGTGACAGCGACGCGGCAGAGCCTACAGACCTTCTTGCGGCGAGCAGCTGTCATGATCGCCAACCCGTGGAGGCCGCAGCAACGGGGCCGCGGGGGCTCTTCGAAGCTCACCACCAAAGACGTACTTCTGACACCAGATAATTGCAGCGGCAGCAATATGGAAGATAACGGAAGATAACGGTACGTAGGCGACGGTGCACGCATGCATGAGGACATCCTCTCCCCTCCCGTTTCGTTCAAGGCGGCGTAACCTTGGTCCTGCTGCTAGGACGGCAGTTTCCTCTCTAGCAGGTGTATGCGCACCCGAGAAAGACCGCAGCGCTGGCGCCCCTTTACAGGCGTTCTATCTTTAGCAGGTGGCTGTGATACAGCTGCTGGGCAGAGACGAACTGGACATTTGCACCGTATAGTATATCTATGTATAGTGTAATATCGCACATACATATGCATATGCACGTACATATAGACAGGGTCAAGGGCATTCAAGCACTCGTTGCAGTGGCGGTTGAGCAGGGTCCGTGTGTTTTGACGTTCTGTGTTGAGGTACGTCCATACAGCAGCTAGATAAGGCCACAACCAGCAATTCACAGCCCCACACCCAAAGGCAATAGCCCGCGCAGGCTATACCTCTCGGATGCGCAAAAGCAACTGGAGTAACAACAGCCGCTGCGCGTTGTGTTGCTGGAGCCGCTAGCTGCCCTTGCCGCGCTTTGACGGAATTAACACCTAGTATCTGTCGTAGATCTGGGATCATTGCTGCATTATTAGATAGGTGCATTCATAGTAGCAGGCGTCACTGCAGATACTAAGACATAGGAGTCCACCACCTACGAGCCTCCTTCTGCTCGATGGTAACGCAGCGCGCGCCTCTTTACTTCCGCGCCTTGGCGTCGGCGCTCTCCTACTCTGCATGCAGTTGCAGATGTTTGGCTATTTTCTACAGAGACGCAGAGGGAGGGAATGCCGGCAACCTTGCCGCCTAAGGGCCGACATGAACAGCGGTCCGGTTGCGGCGCAGCACACAGAAGCGCCCACTCTCCGGAGCCCAGCGTGTTCATTTGAGGTATACAGGAAGATTAAAGTGTTCCTGCAAGATACTGATATGCATTTATGTCACTTTTCACAGAAATTAAGGAGAGCCTGTTTTGGGAGGCTTGCGGACTCCTCCTCGTGGGCTGGAGGGGCCTAGCGATGTCGTCTGCAGTGGCGTGCGGGAGGCGATGCCTCCTGCATGGGTTGTGTTCTTTGGGGTATTTTTCTTGTTAAAATTCTCGTTGAATGACTAAACCCTTTTCATAAATCAGTCCAGAGCATCTGGAAAACCCCCTGGAGCGTCCCCATTTTTCGTCCTTCTGGCCACGGCACACAGCGCGGCCTCACACCCACCATCTGGATCCCAGCTAAACCCAACAGATGAACACAACAGGCAGCCAGTGGGGAATTTGGGGGCATCCATAGACTCCTTGGAGGCCTTGGGGGGCCCCTGAAACTCCAATTGCGCAGCTTTAGAGGCGATGAGTTTCAGGGCCTCTGCAGCCGTGCTGCAGGCGGGGGGTGTAGGCACACACCAATACCCGCAACAGGGGATCGAGATCCCGCAGCTTCTCCCTTATTTGAGGCAATATGCCTTTTCCAGAGAAGCCCCTCATGCAGAAAGCGCCCGCCTCTCCAGGCGGGCCCTCAGGGTGCGTCGCTCCAGGGGCACGCAAGAATGATGGAGAAGGAAACGATGAAAAGTCCGGCTGCTACTGCAGCAGCAGCTGCGACGATACCAACAACAGTAGCTGTAGTAGCAGTGGCGGCAACTCTGGCAATAACAGCAGGTGTGACTGCAGCAACAGCAGCTGCGGCAGTGAGAGCTGCCGGGCAAGCCGCAGCAGCAGCACCAGGAACACGAGCAGGTCTGGCAGCAGACACAGAAGCAACCGTGACAGCAACAGCAACAACAAGGAGAACAGCACCCCTACTGTCGACAAGCCCGATGTTGGGACACCGCAGCAACTAGAGACGCCTGCACCACAACAACGGGGGGGGGATTCTCTCAGCTGCAACTCAGGGATTACGGCAGCACCACCAGCAAGAGCAAGAGCAAATTATGCATTCAGCAGCAGCTGCATCAGCGGGAGCAGTGAAGGCGGTGGATCGGATGTAAGTGAAGGTCTAGGGTGGAAGCCCAACGAAACAAGCAGCAGCAGCAAGAGTAGCAGCAGCCAGAGTAGTAGCAGCAAGAGTGGCAGCAGCAACAGCAGCAGCAGCAACGGCAGCGAACTGTTCAGTGACTTCGACTGGAGGCCCCAGTCTCAGGATGCTGCAGCAGAATGTTCTGCTGGTGGGCCTTCCGATACAGGGGCGTCTTGCTTCTCAAGCAGCATCAGCGGCTGCAGCAGGAGCAGCAGCAGCAGTAGTAGCAGTACCAGTAGTTTTAGCAACGGTAGAAGCAAGCATAATGGCCACAGCAGCCGAGGCAAGGAGACAGTTCACCAGCGTGTGGGTAGCAGCAATGACGGCAGCAACAGCAACGGCAGCAGCAGCAGCAAGTCCAGCAGTAGCAGTAGTAACAGCAGCAGCAGAAATGACAGCACCAGCAATGACAGCTGCAGCAGTAGTAGCAGTCGGAGCAGCAGTAGCAGCAGAAGCAGCAGCAGCAGCAGCAGCAGCAGGAGCAGTAGCAGTAGCAGCAGCAGCAGCTGCTGCAGTAGCGACAACAGCTACAACAAAGCAGAAGAGGGAGACAGCTTTCGTCCTCGATTCTGCTCTCTGAAGCACCGCTGCAGCTGTTGCAAGGCGGCTCTCAATGCAGAGTTGCTGCTGCGAAATGCGACTGAGTTCTGGACTCGTCGCAGCAGCAGCAGCAGCAGCAGCAGCATCGGGTTATCTGACGCCAGGAGGCGCCCTTCGGCAGAACGAGCAACAGCGGCGACAGCACCACCTTTTGCAGCAGGAGTAGCTGAGGAATCTGAAAGCCGTGCTCGGCTGCAGGTGGCCTTGCTGCTTCGACTCCGAGATGAGTTTCTAGTGAGAAATGAATTGCTGTTTCGTCTTGCTGCTGATTGTGCTGCTGCTGCTATCGACCTGGTTGCTGCTGTTCTTCTTACTGATGGCTGCCGTTCTCCTCTTTGGCCGTTGCCGTTTAACGAGCTCTTCTCGCTGCGTGAGACAATGCTGGCATGCTATTGTTGTTGCTTCTTTTCTGCAGGGACCAAAGGGGAAGCAAATCATTCAGTGTGCCTCATCAAGCCGTCTGCTGCGGCTGCTACAGCCTTTGCTGTTGTCGGTCCACCCAGCTGTACGCGTTGCTGCGGTGCTGCTGTTGCGCCATTTGCTCGTGTCCGACAGGCAGCTGCTGTTGCTGCGTCGGCTGTGCATCCCACAGCTGCTCGCTGCAGGTCCACTGCTGCCACCGAAGCAGCAGCGCCCAGCAGCTGCAGCTGCAGCTGCAACGGCGCAACAGCAGCAGCAGCACGAAGAAAGGGAATGGGCAGATTTTGAGCGTGCAGTTGCACTGCAGCTGCTGCTTAGGTGGGGGATGCTGCTGACGCGAGGGTGGGGAAGGGTGCCACCCCCGGCGTGTCTTGTTGCTGCAGCAACTAATCTTGCTGCTGCTGCAGTTGAAGCTTCAGTAGCAACAGCATCAGGGGGCAGTGTCGTGCAAGAGACGCGGAGCCCCCAAGAAGCAGCTACAGGTGTCGAGCTGCTGCTGCAGCAGGAGCAGCAGGCGTTGCTGCGGCTGCGGTTGTGGCAGGCAGGGCAGTCCCAGCTACATTTCCAGCAGCAGCAGCAACCGCAGCACCAGCATTTATGGCCAAGCTCAAGGACCATTTGCAGCGATAATTCCCAGGGTAGTGCTTTGTGGCATCAGCTGCAGCAGCGGCAGCACGATCAGCAGCACCTGCGGCAACAGTGGATGGCTTGCTGCGTCTCTGTGCTGTTGCAGTTTGCTGCTGTAATCCCTTCTGGTGCCTTGTTGCGCCGCGGAGCCTTCAGCGTCCTGCTGCATGCAGCAGCAGAGGCGGGACTATGTCGTTCTCACCCGATGCTGGCCCCCCCTCTCTTTAAGTGTCTTTGCAGCTGTTCGGCCTCCGTATACAGCAGCGCAGCAGCAGCATCGGCAGCAAAATGTGTCCCTGTCGACGCAACTGCACAAGCACAACCTGGGGAGGACACCAGGAGATCCGTGCCTTCTTCTAGCAGCATAAGGTGTGGGCATAGCTGGAGCAACGGAAGCAGCAGCAGCAACGTAAATTGGCCCCTGGCGGCATTTGAGCTGAGTGTCCTTCCTCGCCTAATGTGCTTCGATGCATCTGCTAGTCAGTGGGTCTCTTCAGGGGGGCCACGCGTTGCTCTCTCCCGCATGTCGTCAGCAGCAGCAGGCAGGACCACCAGCAGCAGTAGCAGCAGTAGCAGCAGCATCAATAGCAACACCAGCCCTACGATTGCAGCAAATCCTGAGAGTTTCTTTCAGCATCATCATCAGCACCAGCAACGGTTGCTGGGAGTGCCGTCGGAGGCACTGGGGCCGTACCTTTCTCTTGGGTCTCTGATGCCTGCTTCTTCAAGCAGCTGCAGCAGCAGCAGTAGCAGCACCGCTACTGTTGCTATTCCCGCCTCACGGGTTCCGACGACTGCGGAGCAGCAGCAGCAGCAGACAGCAGCACATGCCCTGATTGTACTACTGCAGCCAATCTCGGGTTTGCTCCTGCTGTGTAGCAAGCCGCAGCCACTCCTGCAGCTTCTGCAGTTGCTGCTGCTTCCGGAGACCTCACATGAACATCGCTGCTTCCTCCTGAAGTTCGTACACTGCGTTCTCTCTCTGGCGCTTGGGTTTGGGGGACGCAGACTGGCTGCAGATGACTGTAGGCACCTGCTGCAGAAGCTGGGTGGACAGCAGCAGCAGCAGGACAGCCAGGGACCCTTTTGCTGCGATGGGGTGGATGTGGCCCATGCGCGGCTTCTGGTTCTCCTGTTGCTGCGGTGGAATTTTCACGCCGTGCTTTTGTGGTTGCTGGAAACCAGCAGCTCAAGCAGCGGTGGATATTCTGCAGCAGATGACTCCAGTGTCTCAGGGGGCTTGCTGTTGCGGGGCAACGACTCCTGCGCTACAATAGGGACTCCGTGGACTCAAGGGGACCCTTTTCTTGCCTGGGGGTTGTCGCAGGCAGTCTCTAAGCAGGTAGCAATGCCGCTGCATTGCAGCTCTTCTGTATCTCTGCTGCTGCAGCAGCAGCGGCAGCATCCGTCCACGAGGGACCGTCCGCAACAGCTGCAGCCCCTGCTCGTGCAGCAGGAAGCAGCAGAGCTGCTATTTGTGCTTCTGTTTGCTGCTGCAGCGCTGCTGCCTCTGCCGTACATAAAAGAGGCCCACAAAACGATGGAACAATTCAGTGATCGACCTGTTTCTGAGGTTGTGGCGGAAAGAGACGCAAGCGGGGCAGACACTAGAAGAAGGGTACAAGTATTCTTTAGCGACTGTAGAGCAACGGCAGAGACACCCCACAGTCCTCTGCAACGAAAAGCCGGAGGCTGCACTCCAGCAGCAGACAACAACGTCAGTGGCGCTAGAAGCAGCAGTAGTGACAGCAGGGACGCCAGCAGCAGCAGAAGCAGCAGCGACCTTTGGTGCAATGTGTCTCTCTTCAACGACGTGCTGACACTGGCTAGTGCGTTTGTCCCGGAATCGTTCTTCAACAGTAGCAACAGCAGCCCAGAAGTAGCGGCGCAGAAGCAGGAAGATCTGGTGGAGCTCTTCGGGGATTCCCCCTTCAGGTGTATGGACACCCCGTGCCCCTTGCTGTACCAGGCGTCCGGTGGCCTGGGATCGTTTGCAACTGTTGCCGCAGCGGAAGAGGTGCGGCTGCAGCTATTCTTCCTCCTCCCTAGCCAGCTTCTATCGGTTCTGCTGTTGCACTTGTTCCGAGATCCATGCCGGCATTCCTAAGCGGTTGCCAGGGTGACACCCTCTGTTTGCTGCTGTAGGCGGTGCTTTGCCTGTGCTTTGAATTGCTACTCTAGGTTGTTTTTCGCTGTGCTTTCTGTGTGCTGCTGCAGCGGCTTCGGCACCTGAGCATGCAATTTCAGGTGTATCGACACCTCCCAGAGAGCATTAGCGAGCATTGCTCTGTGCACCTTCGATTCCGCCATGGGGTCCCCGCCGTGCTTGAAGACATAGGTGAACAGCTTGAAGCAACTGGTGTCCTTAATGAGGCAATAGAATGCGACCAGTGGTGCGAAACCCTAAACCATATGTCATAAGAACTACACCGTAAACCCTAAGAGCCCTTGGGGCGTGCCCTGCCGTAGTGTCATAATCCATACCAGTGTGGGGGATTAAGGGTTTAGCTTTTGGGGCTTAGCATTTTTGCGTGTGATGTTGCAGGCAATGGCCACAAGTTCTAGGACAGCTACTTCGTGGTCTGGGGGGGCCCAGTGTCCTGCTGCACTCGCTGCAGCAAGAACCTGTTGGGTCATCCTTGACGGCACCTCAGCGCTTTCTTGAGCGGTGTGTATCTTGTCTTTCGCCGTCTTCTTCGTGTCTTATGTCCGTTCTGGGGAGTCCGCAGGGTCTGTACTTGCCTGCTGCCGCTCATGCTCTTGCTGCGCTTCTGGTACTGCTGCTTCCGCATGTACAGCAGCATCCGGTGGCTGACTTGCAGCTTCGTTCTCCCCTCTCCGATGCAGAAGCACCATCGAAACCCTCAGCAGCAGCAGCGGCCGCCACAGCCACAGCTGCGGCAGCCTGTGGGTCAACGGCTGCAGCAGCAACCACAGGAACGGCAGCAACGACAACAGAGGCAGTTGACAGGGGTCAGATGGAACTCTTTGGCATTAGGAGGTTGCTGAAAGAGATAGGCGATTTGTTGTTGCATATTGCATGCATCAGCAGCAAAGACAGCAGCTACACAGCCAGCGATCCCTGCAGGCTTGCTACGTGCGCATCTTCTTTGGGTTGCTGCAGTACGGTAGCCCCCAGCCGCTGTTGCAGCAGCACGAACGCAGGGGCGTGTAGCAGGAGCTGCAGTCTCGCCAGTAGCACTGTCTGCAGCAAAGACCGCAGCAGCAGCTTCTCCACAGTCGGAGCTGCTGAAGAGACAGGGGCTGGGTTGGCTCAACTTCAGTGCAAGAGCCAGTACCAGCAGCAGCAAGCAGGAATGCAACAGCGTTCCCTCTTTGCGGTGTATGGACAGCTGCTGGGGGTCCTCAGCCGTCGCGCAGCTGGAGTGCAGCTGCTTCAGCAGGAAGGGTTGCTGCCCTTGTTGCTGCTGCTTGCAGGGGCGAAGTCGTCCGCTTGTGCTGCAGCACTTGCTGCTATAGTCCCTCTTCTGTCGTTACAGTTCGCTGCGACGCGAGAAGTTGCTGCTGAGGCACTTCACCAGGGGCCTCCTGACCTGCAGCTCGCTATCTTGGCACACTGGAGCTGTCAGTGTTGCTGCTGTGGAAACATGCAGAAGCAGCAGCAGCCGCAGCAGGTTCCGGAGAAGCAGGAGCAGCCGGCTCAGGCTCAGACGGCCGAGTGGGTCTGGCAGCTGCAGTTGCTGGTTCAGCTGCAACAAAAAGACAGCCTCGAAGGGTTTTTGCCTATTGGAGTATCTCAGCAGGTGCAGCTGCTACTTCAGCAGTTGCTACAACGTCATGGAGCAGCAGCAGCAGAGTGCATCTTGCAGCAGTTGGATAAGGAGGGCCCAGGGGCCCTAAGTAGAGCTCCAGGGCCCCTAAAGCTACAGCTTCTGCGCTGCAGTGAAGGGCTTCGGGTGCTGGCTGTAGACGGCTGGCTCCAACGGCAGCTGAAGTGGCAGTCTGTGCTTCTGTGGGGAGACACAACAGCTGTAGCAGAATCTGCAGGAGCAGCGGCAGGAGCATCAGGTGCAGGCCAGGTTGAGCAGCAGCGAGTTCAGCAGCAGCCAATCCTGGCGCAGCAGGTGTTTGGAGGAGGCTTGGCGAGGATGTATTATAGTATTGCTGATGAGGTACAACTTTTGCACTGGGTCAATAAGGACGTATGTCTAGGGTTTAGGATTTAGTGATTAGGGTTTAGTTTTTAGGACCTAGATTTTAGGGTTCCTGGTTTGTGTTTAGGGTTTGGTGTGTAGGGTTTGGTGCTACGGCCTGTTGGTGTATGCGTGTGATGCAGGCGTTGAAGAACAGTCGCGTCTGGCCGACGGAATCTGCAGGATTAGCAGAATCCCTTTGGTCAGCAGCAGGGTATCCTCATACCGCGGCTGCAGCAGCAACGGTAGCTGCAGCAGCAAAGAGACCAGCTGCTGCTTTAGTCCTGTGCAGTCCCTATGACTGGAGGGGCGCCCGGTCAGCAGCAGCAGCAGCAACAACAGCAACAACAGCAGCGCAGCTGCCTTGGCTTTCTCCAAACGTTGACGGTAGCAGCCCGTCGATAACGCAGTGTACAAATAGCTCCAGCAGCAGCAGTGGCAGCAGTTGCTGCTGCTGCGCCTGCAGAGAGTGGAGCTGGTTGGCATCGGTGCCATGGGAGATTTTGCTGCAGGTGGTGGACTTCGGGGCACCGCAACAACAGCAGCAACAGCGTCCCATGTCTGCTCCGCACAATCTGAAGCACCAGCTTGTGCTGCAGCATGAAGATAAGGGTGGCCCCATTGTGCTGCAAGAGGTGTCTCTGTCTGCTGTACCCTCTCGCTCAGTCGGAGGCTGGGTCTCAGAGACGTTCTACACCCACCATCGCCAGCAGCATCAGAGGCAGAAGCAGCAAGAAGGCGGAATATATGGTCCTGCAGGGGTTCCGAAGTGCGCGCATCGTTCGTCTACAGAGGCTGTTGAGGCAGCCGCAACAACGTCAGCAGCAGCAGCGGCAGCAGCGGCCCTAGCCAGCAACAGCTGTGCCTTGAGTGCTGTTCCGGGTCTCCCCCCTGCTCTTTGTAGTGTTATAGATGGGGGGCCCCTTGCCACGCATTGGATGCTATCTTCTGTTTGCAACCTGCCTTTGTTTCGGCGGCCTCCAGAGCCGGCAGCAGGTCCAGACGACACAGCTCCTGCTGCTGCAGGCCCGATTGACCACGCAGCAACATCCGCATCAGCAGCGGAAGAACAGACGGAAAGGCCGGATGTACTCTCTGGAGTTTTTGAGAATCTGAAGGCCATAGGTCGCCTCTCTTCTCAAGTTGAATGGGGGCCCCTCTTTAACAGTAGCAGGCAGAGTGACGTTGGCCTTAGAGCAGTTGTGCGTGTTAGGGGGCTTTCCGCCGGGCCCCAGGGTCATTTGGTGGGACCAGCGTTTAAGGCAGCATTTGCTACTGTCAGGTGGTCTGCAGATGGTGATGATTTGCTGCAGCAGCTCCTGCGGCAGCAAGAGAAGAAACTATTCCGCCGCTGCTACCTGCGCGGCGCAGGGGGACCCCTCATGCGCTCGAAGGAGCAGAAGGGGGTATCTTCGGCTCCCCAGCGGCAGGCAACGAAGCAGGCGGACAACGGGGGCCCTCCAACGCATGCATACAGCTACACAGGCGATGCAGAAGAAGTGTGTCTTCCAGTGTATTTGCAACGGGGGCCGTACCGCTGGACCCTCTGTTGCCACCTCATGCCACCGCAACAGCAGCAGCAGCAGAGAAGGACCCCTACGCGAGTCCCTCTTTCGTTTGTTCACTTAGTTGCTGTAGGGGCAGATATCCGCCTTATCCAGGAGACCCCAAAGCCAGTGGGCCCCCCCGCCTCCGTCGCAACGGCCTTGGCACGCACCAAAGAAGGTATACATCACAATATTCATACTACGTAATAGTATAAATAAGGACAGTGTTCGTAGTTGATACTAGCACAAGTAGTAATAGAAGAAGATTAATTCAAGACATATTCGGTTCATTCTTATTCGCTATTACTTATTCCCATGATAACGCGAGTAGAAGTTTAACCCGTCGGAAACAAGTCCCAGAAGGGTCCAAAATTTGTATGTATATCTATGCTTTGTGCCTGCGGCCGGTGCTGGTGCCGCTGCTGCTGCTGCTGCAGGTCGCGCCATTTTACGAGGAGACCCGGTTTTTCTGCCTGGGCTGTGGAGAGCCCTGTCTGGGCCTACAGAGGTTCGGAGGCAGTGTACGGCAGCAGCAGCCGCTGCTGCTGCTGCTGCTGCTGCTGCTGCGATTTGGCTTGCGGTTCAATTGGCAGTAAGCTGCGGATCGCTGGAGGCCCTCAGGCAGCTAGACCCGCCTTCCTCATTCCTGGTGCAGCAGAAACAGAAACAGGTCCTCCTGATGCCGCAGCTACAGCAGCACGCAGAGAAGTATCAGAGGCTCCCGTGGCTTTTGCAGCAAGTCTGGAGAGTTGCTGCTGCTGCTGCAGATCCTGCTGTCCGTACAGCTGGTGCAGCAGCTCTTGCTGCTCTTCCCGCCAAGTCCGAAGCAGCAGAGGCCTTTCTTCTCTCGGGTTGGGGGCCCCTTCAGCCAGACCTTGAGCTGCCCTTACTGCGCTTTGGAATGCACGACAGCGAGGGTACCGAAGGAGGTGCTGATAATAGACCTGGAAGAAGCAGAAGTAGCAGCGAAATGGATTCTCGCAGCCTTGTCGGGAATGCCGGAGATGCAGCGCTTTCGCGAGAGCTCTCTCGTGAGAAGTACGTTTCCTTTGTGTTCTGGTTTGCATATAAGCGCAGGCAAACTAGCTAGCTACCAAGACAACTAACCAGCTAGGTAGTTTGGGCGCGGCTAGCCAGTCTGACAACCGCTGGAGTAGGTAATAGCGTGTACAGTTGTGAGCCTATGCTGCGTGCAGCGTGATTTGGGGCCCTCCGCTGCACATCGTCGACGCTGAAGGGTACGGGGGTGCCCCGAAATGCAGGCAGGCCCCTGAGGCAGCCGCTGTCGACATTGCCCCTTCGCTTGAAAGACCCACTGCTGCAGTGCAGGGAATATGTGGGGCCGCATGCAGCCCCACAGAGTGGGACCAATGGTCCTGTGTGTCTCTCTCGCGCAGCAGCGGTGCAGAAAGTAGCAGCTCATGCTGCTCGCAAGAGACGGACGGGGAGGCATTGCATGCAGCTACCCAACCCCAGGCAGCAACACCAGCAGCAACAGCACCAGCAACGGTTGCAGCAGCAGAAACAATAAAGCAACCGCAGAAAAGAGGGGCGCGGCGTGCAGGTGTTCAGGTGGTGCATCAGTCTCTGTTTGACGATGGAGACGACAAATCGGAAGCGGAGCGGCAGCAGCAGCAGCAGCAATTGGAACGACGGAGAGCGTTATCCCTTCCAAGTGCCCTGAAGGCAAGCCCTGTTGGCTTATCAGGAGGGCTCCCAAGGAGGAATAGTCCTTCTACGTCCTTTGACTACAAGTCTTTTGGCCCCCAGCACTTAACGCTGCTGCAGCAGGTACTCCCTAATCCCTAAAGCCTATCTCCTAAACCCTAGCTTCTAGGCCCTAGGCGACAATATGCCAGCGGTTCCCCTCCGTTTCCCTTCTGATGATGCTGTGCTGCACCTCTGGCGACATGGTGGCTATTGCCACCATGTGCTGCTATTTGCTTCTGCTCCTGTTTGCTTCTCCTGTTCCTGCAGCTGGCAGTATTACGGAACACCGTTGCTGTTAAAAATGAGGGTACAGTTGCTGCTCTGAGGAAGATGCGGTGAGCGTTGGTTGTTAGGGTGACAGGGTCGTTTGCTACTTGACTGTTTCCTATCCGTGGGTGCGGCGGGAGCTTTTCCTATTGCTGTTGCTGCTGGTATTGCTGCTGCTTCTGCTTCTTCTTCCGTCAGTGTGTATGGTGCCTCCTGGAGCTACCACTGCCGCCTGTATGAACTGGAATACACCCAGTGACCCCTGCTTGTGCTGCTGCTGCTGTTTCGTGCTGGGTGCAGCAAGGAGATGCCTGCACTCTTCCTGTCAGTCGAACTGTGGTACCGAGCGCAGCTGCTAAACGACTCCCTCCCTGCGTCTTCCGATATTTTGTAAGTACCCACCCTAAACACTAAACACTAGACCCTCGTTTCCTCCCTTGCATTTATGCAGAACTGTAAGCAGGCCGTCTCACGGTATTACAAGGCAGATAAGCCTAAACAGTACTCTCTTCAGTCAGATGTCGCGTACAAAGCCCTAAATTTCTTTGCTTTGACTCGAGGTTTTGGCTGTGTCCATCTTGTCTCCGCCGACCACACTGAGGTCTTCATAAATGCCCTCTTGAGTTTCTTATTTTGTATGTTTTAATTCATTTGGTCGTGTCTTTAACATCCGCCCTTCCATTTGACCATCGGCAGATCAGCTGGCTACAACGAAGAACAGCCTTGGGTGTATAGGGTCTGGACTGTGGGTTTGTGGGCCAGGCACTTTTGCCGCTTCCTCTTCTCGGATACGCTGAAGTCCTCAGAAGCCATCTCATATGTTGAAAAGGTTGCAGCGGCGGCAGCAGCCCGGAGGCGTCGCTACATGCAACAGCAACAGCTGCAGCAAGAACAGCAAGAGCGGCGGCGCGAGCAACAGCAGGAGCATCAGGATAGCGATAGTGGCAGCAGTAAGAGCAGCAGCAGCAGCGGAAGCAGCACGAACAGCAGCAGCAGCAGCGGCAAGAACAGCAGCAGCAGAAGGAACAGCAGCAGCAGTGAAGGTAAGAAGTTGCCTGCACTGGAATCGTGAAACCCACCAATTGCTTTTAAGTTTTTTTAGGGGCCCCTACTTTCTACACCTTTCCCGGCTGCAACAGCGTCATGGGCGGTGTTGCATGATCTGCAGCAGCAGCGCCAGCTGGAGAGCAGCAGCATCCACACTCTCAGGAGACGAAGATGAGCGTTGAGGCTCTTCTAGAGATGCCTTACAGGCAAATATGCTTTACATATATATACCTGCTCGCCAAATATCAGCGGCAGGAACAGAAGCAGCAAAAGATTTTGCTGCTGCTACACGGCTTGCAACGTTTTTTGTTTGATTGTATTCCCATGTAGTTGTATGTTTCTGATTATGTGCGAGGTCGCAGCGTCGTGGCGACTCCTTGCAGCAGCACAGGGAAGCAGCAGCAGCAGCTGCTGCTGCAGCTTTGCTTGCCACAATCTTCTGCTGCGATTCGAGGTGTTTCACCGGCCTTATGTTAGATAAATGCGATCTACCGTTTCTGCTGTGTAGGCTGCTGCAGCAGCCTACACTCATGCTGCAGCAGGATCAGTATGATTTTCTTAGATGTATTGATGTATGTTTGCTTAGATGCTAACTATTGAAGTATAAGTCATCGTGAATTGGTTGTGGAGCGTGTCAGTGCATGCATTGAAGGGGGAGGAGTGAAGGTGCTTTGCAATACTCGTTGCTCAAGATGGTTTATGCTGCAACAGCCTTGCTGATGATCCTCCTTTCTTTGTCTACCTGCCTCCCTAGGCTTGCTGTGCATGCAAAAGTGCTGCTAGGGAGCAGCAAAGGAGGTCAACACCTTCTTGAGTTTTTTTAACAGAGACTTTCTTCTTTTTTCCCCAACTCGTTTCCTCCCTTTACACACGTCTTCACAACGCCTTCTTCCGTCATCATGCATGTCTCATGCATTTAGACTTTCATGAGACTTCCCCCATGTCTCCGGTGCTGCCTTTCCTGCTCAGTCTCAAGAAACATAATTAACTGCCGAGCAAATAAAACAAAACAGCTAAAAGACCAATATTCGTAATACTAACGGCTGATTTCATATTCCTTTCCTACGCCTCCGCATCGGCAAGCTGTGCCAGCTTGCTGTGGTGTTCGTGGGCTTTCTGCTTTTCAGGAGCCTAGGGTCAGCAGCTGTCAGAACTTCCTTTGTTCTTCTGTGCAGCAGTGTATTAAACGGCTCTCTCCCCACAGGACAGCTGTACCACACAACCAGCCACCACCACCAGCAGGAGAAATCGCAGCAGCAGCAAAAGCAGCGAAAGATTGCCTTTCAAGCTATCAATGACTCTCCTGCCCTCTGCACGTCTAGCTGCCAAAGTAGCTAGCTAGGTAGTGAGCTAGTCAATTCTTCTAGTAGTTGAAACCTCCAGAGTTTTACTGTACAAAAACCCTAAACCCTAAATAGGTCCGAAACCCAATCCATAAATATTCGCGGAATATCCCCGCAGAACGGCGCGCTGGAACCAAACTAAAGACCCCTTTGGGGGTGTGGGGCTTAGGGTTTAGGGTTTGCAGGTAAAACGCCCAAGCAAGGTACGCCACAGCTCAATTCGAGGGGCTGTGCTCAGAAGACTTCGCTGACTCGTACTCCTCTGCAAACAAGACACAAAAACCCTAATCACTAAACCCTTAACTTCAACCCTTGGGCAAACACAATTTCCTGCACGAAGCGGCGTTTACCTGAAGAGTCGTTGCCGGACGGCCGTTTGCTGCCTCTCTTGCTGCCGCTGCAATGAATCCCACAGTCACACACAGAGTATGCCAACTGCAACGCAGCAGCAGTTGCTGGATCAGCATCCTCGGAATACGCACCAGCAGCGCCGTAATAAGCACTAACAGAAACACCATAACAGTAACAGGACCGGCAGCAGCATCAATGCCGTACCCTTTAGACTCCTGCCGGATTGGCCGCTGCGGCGTCTCTGCTTCTACGTCCTCAATCGGATCCTCCTCGCTGCTGCTGCTGCTGCTGCAGTGGGTGGTGCTGCGAGCTGTTCTGGGGCTGGTTGCCGAGTTTTGGAGTCGGCAGGACCGCCGCAGATTGCCGTGCTGCTGCTGCAGCTCCTCCCGCTGCAGCAGGTGTTCTTCCCGCTGCAGCTCCTTCTGCTGCAGCAGCAGCCGCTGCTGAGCCTCCAGGAGAATCAAAGGGAAAGTGACAAGAGCGGACCCCGGCTGCAGCACAACAAGACGGAGGCAACGTGACTAGCGGTCTAGCCGCAACAGGAGAAGCAGTTGCTGCGGAGATATATTAGGAACAAGTGAAGCAGCACAAGCTGTTGGCGTACCGACTCCTGCTGCTGCTCTTGCTGCTGCAGCAAAACGGCCTCGTTGGCTTCTTTCAGCGAAGCATGCAGCGCTTCAGCCCTCCTGTGCTTGCTGCTGTCTGGCCCTGCTGCTGCTGCTCCAGCAGTTGAGGGTTCGGTCTTGACACCGCCACCACCGCTGCCTGCAGCAGCTGCCGCCGCAGCAGCAGCAGTGACGCGCTGCAAGGCTCCTTCCGTTGCCTTCAGTGCCAGCCGCTTTGATACTAAGGGCCCCTGTGTCCCCCGAACCAGCTCCACAATATTTTCTGCATGCACACCCTACAACCCAAACCAAAAACCCTGAACCCTAGGCCGAAAAGCTAAGCCTACAGCCGCATCCCTCATCCCCTACCTACCAGATAGTCAGCAGCAGCAAATATCACTGAAGCACCAGGGTGTAGGGTTTAGTCGGGTTACACAGGTGCACTAGGGCTTAGGACGTTGTTGGGGATTTAGGGACTAGGGTTTGTTAAGGATTAGGGTTTGGCTAGGGTTTAAGGTTACTCAGAATGCGTTGTGAGACGAGCAGCAAACATTCAGCGGTGTCCGGGCTGGTCTTCCTGTACAGCTCAAACAATGAATGTTGCTGCTGCTGGGTGTCGCTGCTGTTGAGTGTCAAGTCCGGCGCAGTCCCAGCTGCTGCTGCTGGTGCTGGAGGGTCGAGCCACAGTCCGATTACAGAAGGAATGATATCCAGGAATTTTGTGCTTTGCTGCAGCAGCAAGAGGGGCGGCAGGAGCTCTTCTGTCTGCAGCAGCAGCAGAAAGAGTGTCTCCACAAATGCTGCAGCAGGCCATGCTTCCTCTTCTGCAGCAGCAGCAGCAGCAGCATCTTTTTGTTTAGAAAGGGCATCTGCTGCTTCTGTTACTGCTAGCTGCTGCAACGACGCAAAGCAAAACTGCAGCAGCTTTCGAAACCCTCGCAGCAGCTGCGGTAGAGAAGGCACGGCATCCCTCATTGCTGCAGCCTGCGGCGCACCAGCTGCAGCAGCAGCAGTAGCTCCTGCTGCTAGCTTCTCCAACTCATCGGGTCTTGCTGCTGCGGCGGCGGCAGCTGCTGCTGCTTCCTCCACCTGTGAGGCCACGTTATCCTCACCGCGTCTGCTACGGTGCTGCTGCAGCTGGTCCTGCAGCAGCTGCTGCAGCTGCTGCATCTCGAACACTCCCCGGAGACCACGCCGGAGCAGCCGCTGGGTAGCAGCAGCAAGGGCCCCCAGTGCAGCAGCACGGGGACCCTGAGAGCCACCTGGCAGGGCAGGAGACAAGCAAAGAGACAAGCACGAAGCAATCGAACTCTTGTCGTCAGCTGAGAGACCAACAAGCGTCGGCGACATTATCTGCAACACAAGCCGCAGCAGCAGCAACAGCAACAACAGCAGCAAACGGCAATACAAATGGTATAAAAGCAGCTACTATAACGAAAAAACGCACAAAATATGAACAGAGAAAGACACGAACAAGCGCAGCTTTTCGAAGGTAGCGATACAGACACATCCCACAGAACTCGCAGCAGCTGCTGATGTTGCTGTTGCTGCTGTTATTATTATTGTTCTTGCTGTTTTGTTGCTGCGATGAGCCTACATATTTTGCATGCTCTCTATATTGGTGCTGCAGCACAGGTTGCAGGTAAAGGGCCTCTAGCAGCACTTCTAGCCTTGCCCCTAGGACTGCCTGCTGATGCTGCTGCTCTTGCTGCCGCTGCTGGTCTTGCTGCTGTTGCTGCTGCTCCTTTGCGTGCTGCTGCTGAAGAAGGACCAGGCCCAGCAGCAGCAGTTTCATAAGAACTCGAACAGCAAACGACTGCAGCCGTTTAGTTGCTGCTTCCGCTGCAGTAACAACCTTCCACAGCAGGTCGAGCAGGCATTCTCCTGCTGCTGCTGCTGCTTCCCCGCCTTCTTGATGCAGCTCCTGCTGCTCCTCCAGTGATTGCTGTTGCTGCTCGGGCAGCCGCTGCTTGCCCATTTCCCGCCGCAGCATAGACGGATGGCACAGTAGCAAATCCCCCAAAAAGGCGACATACAACTCGCACCGCTGCGTGTGCCCAGCAAAGTCCCTCTCGTGCTGCAGCAGCACGAACAGCAGCAGATAGATAGATATCCATGATAGGAAGGGAAACAACTCTAACGAAGCAACTCAAGAAGCAAAACGCAAAACCCTGAGCCGCCCACCGGAAGCAGGCAACCGCTAGGTCTCCCACTATGAAGTTCGTTAGGTGTGTTAGTCCTACACACTAAACCCTAAACCCCGAACTGCTGACTGTACACCTTGCAGCTTACGTGTTTCGACTGTTCAGTTGCTTCCTGCATTTTCTGGATAGCTTCGGCAGCTGCTGCTTCTGCTTTCTCCAGCTGGTGCTGCAGCTGTTCCCGCTGCTCCTGTTGCTGCTGCCCGTGTTGCAGCTGCTCGCGGATATGCTGCGCCCTCTGTGAGTAGTGTGTGTGACGGAGTTGTAGCAGCTGCATGTCATGCTGCTGCTCTTGCAGCGCAGCAGCAGCAGTTTGCATTTGTTCTAGCGATGTCAGCAGCGTTGCCTTATAGGCTCGCAGCTGATTTGCTATCTCCTGCTCTCTGCTGCTGCGGAGGCAGAAGCAGCCCAGGCTCTTGCAGACCAGCTGCAGCAGCAGCAAAAAGGAAGCACAGCAGCAAACCCTCATACCTTAAACGAGAACTGGCCTCATAGGATCGTCTGGAGTCTCCTCGGGATCGTGCTGGATAGTGTGGGATCGTGTGTGGTCCTGGGCCTGTCTCGCTGTTTAGCCCCACGCCCTTGTCCCGTCTGTGCTGGGATCGAGTGGGATCGGGTGGGGTCGCGTGGGGACGGGTGGGGTATGGTGGGATCGTGTGGGATCGTGTGGCATACAATTTCACACAAGTCATTGTGGAGTTCATGCCGTGGCAGCACCCTGTAGAGACACTCTCTCCAAGTTTTGCTGCTTCTTTGCCAGCACTGGGCCTGTGCACTCTTGTTGCTGCTGGTGTCGCTGCTGCTGCTGTTGGTGCTGCTGAATCCGAGACATTCGCTGCAGCAGCAGCAGCGTGCCGCAATCCCTTCTTCATCATTGCAAAAGAACTGCAGCGCTGGTAGTAGCAGAGACACCGGAACATCTGTAAGAGCTCCATCAACATCTGGGCTGGTGCTGCTGCGAGCAAAGTAAGCGTCAAGGGTAGCCACTACCCGCAGCCACCGCTGCAGCAGGAACAACAGCAGCAACAACAGCAAAGGTACCACAGCAACAAAAAATTGAGAATACGAAGGGGGAGAGCGCGCATATACATGTTACAAACAATGGTGCCCTCGCCGGTGTCATCGAAGACTACACTGCCAGGAATAAGGGCTTAGGGTTTAGTGTTTAGGATTTACCTGATGCAGTTCGTTGGTGATGATGAGGTAGACCGGCGCTAGGCGGCCGTATGTCTCTTGGCTGTTGCTGATTTGCTGCTGCAGCGCCCGCAGCACTTGACTGTCTTCCTGCTGCTTTTGTTTCTTGCGGGGCTGCTGCTGCTGCAGCAGCTCTGCCAGCTCGACTGCTTTCTGCTGCAGAGCAACCAGCCGGTGTTGCAGCATTAGCTGCTGCTGCTGCAGCAGCTGCGTGCTGCAAAGGCGAGGATTAAACCCAAAGGGGTCACCTTCCGCGCCAGTACACAACTCCTGCAGCACGGCATCATCCGAACCAGCTGTAACACAACGCAGCAGCAGCACCAACAGAAGCAGCATACAGCAGCAACCACAGCAACAACGGCAGCAAAAAAGCACCAACAGCAGCCGCCGCCACATACAGCACCACTCCTTTCGGGGGAACCGCCCTCCCGAGACCATGGGGCCCGCAGGCCCCTCTCTGGTGCCCCTCCCTCATCAGTAGCAGCACCCTTTTGGTGCAGCAGCAGCAGCAGAAGCAGCAAAAACAGTAGCAGCAGCAACATACTTTCAAGGGGTTCATGCAGCTCTGCCAGACATGAACATATTTTGGCTGTGAGGCCACACTCGGCCTCTAACTGCTGCGGATGCTGCCGGCGCTGCAGCTGCAGCAGGAGCTGCACAGCAGCAGCCGCTGCTGTATTGTTTAGCCAGTATGCAGGCCATAAAGAATAGCCACCCTGGGTTGTGGAGGTGCTGCTGTTGCCGTTGTTGCTGCCCCGGCCAGGCCAGGGGGAAATGCTCTGCTCTGCCGGGCTTAGATTGCCCAACAGCAGTCGCCGCACGTCCACTGCAACAAACCCCAAACCCTAAACGTTAAACCCTAAGCCCCAAACCCTAAACCCTGAACACGAAACCCCCATTAGTCGAATGAAACATTGTATTGCCCGCAGCATCTAATCTAACACGAGCGCTAAACCCTGAAATGCAGACCTTAAGCGTGAGTCCCTAACCCTAAACCCTAAACCCTTACCGAGGGGAGCTGTTGCCAACGTGACCTCGCATGCTTCCTCGAGGAGACGATCTGTCTCAGGAGAGGAAATGCCGCAGCAGCAAGCCAGAAGCAGCAGCTGCCGCACACATCCAAGCAGGGTCAGCTGGTGCTGCAGCGTAACACGCACATTGAACCCTTAACCCTAAACAATAAACCCACACTCCCCGTCTTCTATGTGTCTATGGGATAAAACGGACGTGTCAGCTGCAGCAGCGCAAAACTCAGAATGAGCAGCACCATGCAGCAGCAGCATGCAGCAGCAGCACGCGGCAGCACCATCAGCAGTAAGCTTACGCTTTCAGCTTCCCTCTGGGCTTCGAGCAGCGAAGCCTCGGAGGCTGCATCTGGTGAAGCAGCGGATGCCATCTGCTGCAGCAGCAGATACTGCTGCTGCTCCACCTGCTGTGCTGCCTTCAGCAGCCGCATCAGCAGCTCGTGCAGCTGCGAGATGTCGATGCTGCTTCTGCAGCAGCAGCAGCACAGGCAGCAGTAGCAACAACAATGACACCCCTAATCCCTAAACCCAAACTCCAAACCCTAAACCCTTAAATCTTCGGGGGCTATCGGCTAAACCCTAAACTACACTGTAAACCCTAAAACCCTAAACCCTAAACCCTACCGTTCTGTTGGCGTCGCTAGATGCTCCGCATACACCCGGAGGAGGAAGACCGCCCCTGGAGTCAACTCACTCAAACACTTCGCCCCCCTCCTCTCCAACAACCGCCGAATCCCGGCTGCTGGGCCTGCAGCAGGAGCAGCAGCAATTGCAGCACGAACAATATTTACAGACAAACGGTGGCATTCGTTTTAGCACAGCTGGTCCACAGGCTAGGAGCGCCAACGCCAGCAACGGCAACATGCAGAAGCAGCAGCAACAGCAGCAGCAGCAACAAGGGCTTACGGTCATTAGGGAAGGCCAATAGGAGTTCTTTGACGGCGAGCTCGACTGCCCCTTCTGCTGCAGGTAGACATTCGCCCATATCTTCAATAAAGGCTACAAGACCGCCGCATGCAGCAGCAAATTGCTGCCGTTCCTGCTGCTCTTGCTGCAGCAGCTGCTGCTGCTGTTTCAGCTTCTTCTTGTCCTCTGAAGGACTCTGCAGCGGCTGATCCACCTCAATTTGCTGCCCATCTTGCAGGTCTTGCTGCTGTTGCTGCTGCTGCTGCTCCTCTTCCTCCCGTTTGCATTGCAGTCCTTGCTCTTGCTGTTGCTGCATTTCCTGCTGCTGCTGCTGCTGTTGCTGCTGTTGCTGCTGCAGTAAATCCCTCTGCTGCACCCATGTCCGCAGCATCTTAAGGCAACTCGCCCTTACAGATGCTGCCCTGTCATTTAATCCAACTAAAATCATCTCCGTCCTTTTCTGTGGTGTCAGTACACCTTCACACCTGCATACCAAACCCTAAACCCTAAACCCTAAACCCTAAACCCTAAATCCTAAAACTTAGAGGGTCAATACTAAGCTGCAGATACACCTGGCACATTTCGTAGAGGCAGGATGGCAATGCTATGGTTGATGGGTGCCCTACGAGACCCCTACTGCTAAGGGTTTAGGGTTTAGGGTTTAGGGTTTAGGCTTACGTTGAGAGTTTGGTGTAAAGAGCAGCACGCACTTCAGCAGCAGCATCGAAGGCCCTTGCCTGTAGCTCAAGGGGTGCTTCTTCTGCCTCTTGCTGCTGTTGCTGCAGCAGCTGTTGCTGCAGTTGCTCCTGTTGCAGCTGCTGCTCGTGCTTCTGGTCCTCTTCCTTCTCCTGCTTCTGCATTGCATCCGTCTGCTGCGGTACCTGTGCCTCTTGCTGCTGCTGCCGCTGCTGTTGTTGTTCTTGCTGCTGCTGCTGCTGCCCTAGAGGCAGGTCTAATGGCTTAGGCTGCAGCAGCAGCAGCCGCCTTGCAGCAACTCGGCGCACCGCAGGAGATTCATCCGTTAAACACTGCAAGAAGGCAGCCTTTACTGTTGGATCCTGCAACAAACCCTAAACCCTAAACCCTAAACCCTAAACTCTTTATCTTAGGAGGAAGAGTAGCAGCAGCAGCAGCAGCAGCACTAGCCTCTATATGCAGCTGCCCACTTGCTGAAGCAGTTGTCTACCTACGTGCTTAGAATCATTAGGGTTTAGGGTTTAGGGTTTAGGGTTTAGGGTTTGGGGTTTAGGGTTTGGGGTTTAGGGCTTACGGTTTGCATATTTTCTAGCAGCAGCAGAGCAAGATGTCGCTGCTGCGGATCTCTTCCCTGCTGCAGCAACGCAAGAGATTGCTGCACGTGCTGCTGCAGCAAGGTAGCAGGAGGGGTTGGACTCCTTAATTCTGCTGCATGCTTCTGCTGCAGCTGCTGCAGCTGCAGCAGCAAACATGCAGCACCCAACCTGACAGGCCGCTGCTTGGCCATCAGCAGCGGCAGCAAACGGCCCCACAATTCCTGCAACAGACGCAACAGCAGCAGCAGCAGCAGCAGCAGCAGCACGATATCCTATAGAGACATACCAAAGTGTACAGGCAGCTGAGAAGGTCGCACTAGCAGCAACAGCAGCAGCAGTGGCAGCAGCACCAGCAGCAGCAGCCACAGCAGCAAGACGCACGTGCAGGAGCGAGTATTGCTGCTCTGGGTCTTCATTATACTCCCGCTTTACCAAGTGCTGCTTTTGCTGCTGTTGCTGCTGCTGCTGCTGCGAGTTGCTATTCTCGTCATCTTCAGGCATTGCTTGGTGAGGCGCTTGCTCTTCTGCAGCAGCAGCAGCAAGCTGATCTGTCCTCAGCAGCAGCTGCAGCGGGAGAGCAGCAATACGCTGCCCTTCCCGCTGCGGCAGCCGCGGCAGCAGCAGCAGCAAGCGATAACAGAGGCGGAAGACTGCCTCTGTAAACAAGCTTATGTTAACCTCGCTGCTGCTGCTGCTGCTGCTGCTGCTGCTGTTTCTGCCTCTGCTGCGCTTGCAAACAGTGCCTGCAGCAGCAGAGGCTTGCTGCAGCAAACCAGACAAGCGCTGCAAAGCAGCAGCAAGCGATATGCTGCGCTGTATGTACAGCTTGAATGTCCCCAGCAGCAGCTGCACCCAAGGCGGCAAAGCCTTTGCTGCAGCAGCAGCTGCTGCTGCTGCCTCTGCTGTTGCTACTGCATCTGTGGGGTCTGCTGCAGCAACACCAACACCACGACCACGGCGCCGCTTTATTTGCTGCTGCTTCTTCTGCGGCAGCAAAGGCTCGTCCTTAATTGGCAGCAGGCCCCCTAGGGCTCCTTGCAAACTCATGCTGTTGCTGCTGCTGCTGCTGTTCTTGCTGCTGCTGCTGCTGCTGCTGCACTTGCTGCTACTGCTGCTGCTGCTCTTGCTGCTAGCGCGCTCATCGCTGCTTGAGTAGCAGCTGCTTCGTCTGCTGCTGGATCTTGACGCAGTACCATTTTCTGCTGCTGCTGCTGCTGCTGCTGCAGCAGCAGCAGCATTTCGTACCCTCTTCATGCTGCAGCTGGCAGCGGTGCTGCTGCTGCAGGGCAGCAGCAAATTGCTGCTGCTGCTAACGGAGCAGCTTCTTAAGTTCCTGCTGCTACAGCTGCTGCTTGTCGGGATAGTGCAGCACAAAACAAGCTGAGTGTGCACACGGGCTCAACTGCTCCTGCAGCTGTTGCTGTTGCTGCTGTTGTTGCAGATCTTGTACCTGCTGCTGCTGTAGCTGCTGCTGCTGTTGGTGTACCAGCTGCAGCAGCGGTTTCTTCTGCTATTGCAAATGCTGCAGTTGCTGCGGTCGTTGCACTGGCTGCTGTTACTGCTGTACCTGCTGCTAGGGTTTAGGGTTTAGGGTTTGTATCTAAGCACTAAAAAGGGAAACAAAAAGAAAAGAAGAAACACTGAGGTGTACAGACACCTCAACTACGGGCAGCAGCAGAGCAGCAAGACCGAGGCCCCCCTCAGCAGTCCTAGCTGCTGCTGCTGCTGCTACTATTGTTGCTGCTGTTGCTGCTATTGTTGCTGCTTCTGCAATGCTGCCCTACAAAATAACAAACCTAAACCCTAAACACTAAACCCTAAACACTAGACTGGCTACCCTGGCTACAACTGGGGGCTGAGCGATGCTGCGGTGGGGTTGGTGTACCCTCCGCTGCCGCTGCTGTTATGTCTTCAGCAGCAGCAGCAGCTGCTGCTGCTGCTGCTGCTACTGCATGCGCTATTTAATTGTATATTATAATTATTAAAAGTTAAAAAGGAATTAAAAACAACGTCTAAAACATTCCGCTAAAAATACAACAAACCCCACCACCCCACAGTGCATGCGCTGCTGCTCTACACAACCAGCAGCAGCAGCAGCAGCAACAGCAGCAGCACCTGCTACTGTTGCTATTGCTGCTGCTGCAGCATAGGCAGCAACACATAAATTAAAAAAAGATGGGATGGATACATGCAAGGCGGCAATGTCTGCTGTGTAATGCCACTGCTGCTGCTATATAAATAGCTTGTATAGTAGCTGCAGCAGCAGCAACAACAGCAGCAGCAGCAGCCAATGCTGCTACAGCTGCTGTTTCTCGTGCTGCTGCTGCTGCCGCTGCTGCTGCTAGATCAGCAGCAACAAACGCCTTCCATCCATTGATCAAGCCAGTCCCCGCTGCTGCTACGCAGTGTATGGGGGAGCCGCAGCCTTTCGTGCTGCTGCTGCTGTTGCTGCTGGAGTTGCAGCAGTTTCTGCTGCTACTGCAGCAGGAGGAGATGCAGCAGTAGCATGTGCTGCTGCTGCTGCTGCTGCATCTGGATCCCTCCTTCTCCCTCTTGAGGTGTACGTACCCTCGATGCCACCAGCTAACTGCATGCGTCGCCAATTGGCGACTGTCTTAGCTCGCTGCCATGCATGCTGCAGCAGCAGCAGCCTCCCTACTTCTCCTAGTCTTGCTTTTTTCTTGGTGTTGCTGCTGCTGCTGCTGCAGGTACCTCCAAGAGCTGCAGCAGCAGCAGCAGATCCGTCTGTTGCATCCAGCAGCAGCAGCAGCAACGACGGCTTGCTCACGCTGCAGCTGCCTGCTGCTCTTGCTACCCGCCGCAGCAAACGTCTATACAGACGAGGGACTTCTGATCTCTCTAATACAGATAACTTGCTGCTGCTGCTGCTGTTGCTGCTGCCGTTGCTGTTGCTGCTGCCGTTGCTGTTGCTGCTGCTGCTTGTTGGAGGAGCAGCAGCGGTGCTGCTGCTCATCCGATGAGAAACTCTGGGAATACGCTGCTTCCGTGGGCCACTGCTACGACTGCCACTGCTGCTGCTGCTGCTGCTGCTGCTGCTGCTGCTGCTGCTGCTGCTGCTGCTGCTGCTGCTGCTGCTGCTGGTTTCTCCTTGCGAACGCTGTGGTGCGCTGTCATGAGGACCAGCTTGAACCGGATTAGAGCTGCTGCTGCTGTTGCCGCTGCTGCTCGAGCTGCTGTTGCTGTTACTCCCGCTGCTGCTGCTGCTACTACTAGTGGTACTCCCACTGCTGCTGCTGCTGCTGCTGCTGCTGCTGCTGCGTAATCCAAACAGACGACGTGTGGGGCGCAGCAAGACAGACCCAAGGCCTGTGCCGCGAGAGGAAAGAACACCCAGCAACGTGCTGCCCCACGAAAACCCTGCAGCAGCAGCACGAGCAGCAGCACCAGCAGGAGCAGCAGCAGCAGACGCTGCCGGTGCTGCAGTTGAAACTTCTTTGCTGCTGTTGCTGCCGGACGCTGCCGTGGAGCAGGAACCAGCAGCAACAGGAGCAGCTGCCACAGGCGCTGCTGTAGCACCTGCAGCAGCAGATGGAGCTGCAGCAGAAGCGCCAGCAGCAGCCGGAGCAGCAGCAGCAGCAGCAGCAGAAGTACGCCTAGAGGGGTGCCTATATACAGCTCCCCCCCAAGGACGCCCTGGTGCCTGCCGGGGTTGTGCTGCTGCCTTCCAGCGGCTCCTCCATCCTCCACAAACTGCAGCAGCAGCAGCAGCAGCAGCAGGACCTGCTGCTGCTGTTGCTGCTGCTGCTGTTGCTGCTACCACGGAGGCTGTGGAGGAAGAAGAACTTGTGGAGCTGACGACGTCGGAAGAGGCCCGATCTCGCTGCTGCTGCTGCTGCTGCTGCAGCGGTGGCATCACGGGTGCCTGCGGCTGCTGCTGCTGCTGCTGCGGCTGCAGCCGCCGCCGCTTCTTCTGTGGAGGTAAATCCTCTGCTGCAGCAGGAGCAGCAGGTCGATGTCTTGAGGACGCTGCTGCTGCAACCGGAGGCTTTGCCACCGGTTCCGGATTTGCTGCTGCTGCTGCTGCTGTAGCAGCAGCACAACGGCTTGCTGCAGCGCGAGTTCGCGCTGCGGCTACTGGTGACGGTTCCACCGCTGGGACTGTTGCTGCTTCTGCTGCTGCTGCTGTTGCTGCTGCTGCTGTTAATCTCCTACTTCCCAAGCGCGATACAATCGGAAGGGTTATTGTTGCCTGCTCTTCTGCTGCTGCTGCTGCTGCTGGTGGTGGTGGTACTCCCTTTGCTGCTGCTGCTGCTGCACAACTGCTGAGCTTGCTAGGGGGCAGCCGCAGCACGGGTGCATCGGTGTCTCCAACAGCAGGTTCAAAGCCTACCCGCTGCTGCTGCCTGCAGTAGCAGCAGCAACAGCTGTTTCTGCTGCTGCTGCTGCTACTGCTGCTGCAGCTGCAGCTGCTGCAGCTTGCGCTGTCTTGGGGGCAGCAGCAGCAGCAGCAAATGCTGCTGGTGCTGCTGCGGCAGGTGCCAAAGCATCCTTCAGAGAAAGGGGAGAAGTCGCTGCAGTCGCATGTGCTGCCGTTGCTGCTGCGGGTGCTGCCGTCTCCCTGCTGCTGCTTGCTGCTGCTGCTGCTGCGACTGCTGCTGCGGCTGCTGCTGCAGCTGCTCCTGCGTCTGCCACGCCTCTTTGTACTACCTACTAAGAGGCACCCCCTGATCCTGCTGCTGCTACGGGAGAGAGACTTCCTTCTGCTGCTGCTGCAGCTGCCGTTGCTGCATTTGTTGCTGCTGGTCCTCTTGCACAACCTGGCAGGTAAAGGCTCCTCAGGACCCCCTGCTGCTGCTGCAGCAGTAGCAGCTGCTGCTGCTGCTGCTGCTGTTCGGCTTGGGAGGGTTCTAAGGCGGTAGTCGTGTATATTCATTGGAGAACTCGGTAAGACCTGCAGTACGGCAGCTGCTGCTTTTGCTGCTGCTGCCGTTTAAACCGCTGCTGCTGCTGTTGTTGCTGCTGCTGCTGCTGCTGCTGTGGGATGCACAGCACCACGGAGAGAGGGAGGTGATACATGGGGCCGGCTGACAGCACCCCCAAGGCAGCCCGGTCGCTTTTGCGATGCCTGCTGCCGCTGCTGTTGCTGCTGCTGCTGCTGCTGTTGCTGCTGCTGCTGTTGTTGCTGCAGTTGTTGCATTCTGGTTGCTGCTGCTGCTGCTGCTGCTAGCGCATGTGTGTTGCATGCATGTCTTATACACCACTTAGTAGAAGCCTGCGTAAACAAAGGGAAGGTGCTGCTACCACCACAACGTTACTGCTGCTGTTGCTGCTGCTGCTGTTGCTGCTGCCGCTGGTGCAGGTGTGCTGCATGCGACCAAGACGGCATCTCTATCCGTGTTGCTGCTGTTGCTGCTGCCACCACCTGCTGCCGATCCTTGCTGCTGCTGCAGCGGCGGATGCTGTGTGTCTCCTATCGGCCCTCTCTTGGGTTGCTGCGTAAATCGGCTGCGCTGCAGCGTCTGCTGTTGCTGTTGCTGCTGCTGCTGCTGCTGCAGTTAATGCAAATAGGAGCTTATTGCCTCAGAAGAAATCATCGCACTCTTTTCTCTCCTCTCCTGAGGCAGCAGCAGCAGCAACAGCAGCAGCAGCAACACAGCCCTTTGCTGCAGCTGGGCAGACAAGCCCTCTCCTATAGCAACAACAGCAACAGCAGCAACAGCAGCAGGTTAAGCTTCCGCCTCGGTGAGCTATCAGCAGCAGCAAGAACAGCAGCAACCGCAGCAGCAGCAGCAGCAGCAGCAGCAGGTGCACGAAGAAGCAGCAGCTGTTTCGCCACAATGAAGCGTGAGGACGCGTCAGCATCCCCTACTGCTGCCGACGAGCAGAAGCAGCAGCAACAGCAGCAGCAGCAGCAGCAGCAGCAGCAGGGGTCCTCCCCTGAGGATAATGATATAAAGGCACAAAGGGAGGCACGTAAGAAAGCAAAAGAAGCAGAAAAAGCAGCAAAAGAAGCAGCAAAAGCAGCAAGAAAAAAGGCACTAGGTAAACCCTAAACCCTAATAAGCCCTAAACCCTCGTAAACCCTAAACCCTCATAAACCCTAAACCCTAATAGATCTAATTTGTATGTATATATACTCTTTGACGCATGCATGCACATACTCTGCTGCATGCCTGCATTTACTGTTGCTGCTGCATGCATGCATTTGCTGCTGCTGCTGCTGCTGCTGTTGCTGCTGCTGCATGCAGAGGAGGCGAGTGCAGCACAGAATGTGATTGCTGAGGATTGGGAGAAATGTGACTTTGGATACTATCCTATGATGAGCAGCAGCAGCAGCAGCAGCAGCAGCAGCAGCAAGAGAGAG